TGAGCCACCGCCCCCGGCTAATGTTGATGTAGCTCTCTTCAGCCTCCCTCTGTAATCTTCAGCAATAAGGCTTATTTGATGATAACAGCCTAAGTCACATGGTATTGCACATACTTGCTTACAGATTTGTATTGTCAGCAGACTAAATTTCTTCAAGGGTGGGGACTATATATTTTACTCCTTTACATTGTGATTAGGTCGTATTAAAAGAATATTAGTTTCTTGTTTTCTTATCTACAATATGAGTTCCACATTGGTAGTGCCTTTCAGTGCCTAAAACAGTAATTGGCAGAGAGTAAATGCTCATTAAATATTTGCTGAGTGAATGGCAGTTTCTTAATAAGTTTCCTGAGTATAATTCTGCCAGGCTCTCAAGACAATGTTTGTGATAGTTAATTTTAGGTGTCAACTTGACTGGATTTACAGATCCCCAGAGAGCTGGTAAGCATTATTTCTGGGACATCCGTGAGTGTTTCTGGAAGAGATCGGCATTGGAATCAGTGAACTGGGTAAGGATCTTCACCCAATGTGGGCAGGCACTATCCAATTGGCTGAGGGCCCAGATAAAACACAAAGGCAGAGAAAAGGTGAATTCTCTCTCTTCCAGAACTGGGACATCCATCTTCTCCTGCCCTTGGATACCTGAACTCCAACCAGATTCTCAGGCCTTCTGACTTGGACTGAGCCACACTCCTAGTTTCCCTGGCTCTCCAGCTTGCAGACAGCCTATGGTGGGACTTCTTAGCGTCCCCAATTGTGTAAGCCAATTCCTCTAATAAACATCCTCTCTCTCTCTCTAAAAAAAAAAAAAAAAAAAATATATATATATATATTCCTCAACCTTCAACGGGGTTACATCCCAAAATCCCATTGTAAATTGAAAATACCGTCAGTTGAAAAATGTATTTAATATACCTAATTCACTGAACATAGAGCTTAGCCAAGCCTACTTAAATGTGCTCAGAACCCTTGTTAGCCTACAGTTAATACAAAGCCTATTTTATAACAAGGTGTTGACTGACTCTTGGAATTTATTGAACAGAGTACACTGAACAGACAGTTGTTTACTCATGATCCATGGCTGACTGAGAGCTGTGTCGTGACGCCACTGCCCATGATCACAGCAGAGTATTGCTATCTTGTGAAGAGATCAGAATTCAAAGTAAACTTTTCACTGAATGTGTATTGTTCTCACACCATCCTTAAGTTGAAACATCACAAGTTGAACCATGATAAGTTGGGGACCATCTGTATATATTCTATTGGTTCTGTCTCTCTGGAAAATCCTAAGACAGATTTTGGTACCAGGAGAGGTTCTAGAGGAACAAAATTTTAAGGATGAGTTTCCTGAGTTGGTTTTGGGGTTCCTGGAATTGGCTCTCTAGTCTGATTAGAATTGAAAATGCTAAAGGCTCTACTTTTTATTTTTGAGATGGGGTCCCACTCTTGAACAGGTTGGAGTGCAGTGGCACCATCACAGCTGACTGCAGCCTTGAATACCTGGGCTCAGGCCATCCTCCTGCCTCAGCCCTCCAAATTATTATTTTTTTGGTAGAGATGAGGTCTCACTATGTTGCCCAGGCTGGTCTCAAACTCCTGGTCTCAAGTGCTCCTCCTGCCTCAGTTTCCCAAAGTGTTGGGATTACAGATATGAGTCACTGTGCTCAGTCTGGCTCTTTCAATAGTACAGAGAGCACTGACTGTCCAAGAAATGAACTGTTCATAGAGGTATGCAAAATATCTGCATTGGATACTTCTTATCAACCACTTGTTAGATGTGAGGCACTTAAGTGACTGTATATATAATACCTTTTTTTTTTTTTTCGAGACAGAGTCTTGCTCTGTCGCCCAGGCTGGAGTGCAGTGGCATGATCTTGGCTCGCTGCAACCTCTGCCTCCCGGGTTCAAGCGATTCGTCTGTCTCAGCCTCTCGAGTAGCTGGGATTACAGGCATGCACCACAATGCCTGGCTAATTTTTGTTTTGTTAGTAGAGATGGGGTTTCACCATGTTGGCCAGGTTGGTCTCGAACTCTTGACCTCATGATCCGCTCGCCTTGGCCTCCCTATGTGCTGGGATTACAGGCGTGAACCACTGTGCCCGGCCCTGTAATACTTTCAAATGTTTATGGAAAACTAAGAAATATACCAATGTTGGTTGGCTGCTCCTAATGTT